CGGCAGGGCTCCGTGGCGCGACGCAGGCGGACAGCTGGGCGGCGGCGCCGCCGTTGGCGGCGGGGCGGCGCGGCGGCGCGATCTGGTGTCGTCCACTCGGCCCAGATCTGGGCCTGGGCGGGCCGGCGGCGGGGATCGTCTCCGGCGTGGCTTCTGGGAGGCAGGGGAGACGCGACGAGTGGCTGGGTGCTGGTGGCGCCGACGCCGACCTGCTGCATCGTGGCCGGCGGGGCTTAACAGGCCCGCTTCGGGCCTGGCTGAGCCAGGGGTGGCCCGGCATGCCCCGCGGCCATGTCCGGACGGCTACTGCGACGGTGCCGGAGGCATGGGCCTCCCGCACGACGGCGGTGGAGGTGGTTCCCTCCCGCTCGGTGTCGGTGTTGCTGCTCCCGTCGTGGTGCACTTTTCTCTGGTCCTCTTGGCCTCGTGGTGGTGTTCGTAGTGAGGCGGCGTTGGTGGCAGCGCTACTGCGTTGGCGCATGGGGGTGGGCGACGGTTTGGCGGGTTGATCCATCAGGTTGGGTCTGGGAATGCGGGAGAAATCCCTGCCGGCTTCGGCCCCGACGCGGTGACACCTGCGGGTGCCACCATTCCTTCCTGGAGGGTGTCGGTGGTATTCACCCCCACCTTCCTTTGCGTGCCGGGGGAAACCCTAGGACTCGTTCGGGTAGCAGCGTTGTCGGCGTTGCATTCTTTCTTGGAGGTGTTGCTTGGTACGCGGCGGTTCGGAACCTCGGTCTGTGGTGGTTTGTATCCGGTGGGCGCCGTGGTGGCGGGTCATCCGCGCTTTGCCGAGCTGCCGTGGTTGGCATTTGTTTCTTCTTCCTTTTCTTTTGATGTGTTGTGCTGCTCGCTACAACGATCTTTGTATCCGGTGTTGGTTGTTTTGGAATACAGAGCGGGGGAAACCCTTTTTGGTAAAAGTCTTTCTTCTTTTTCTCCTCACGCTTCTTCTCTCCCGGGACGATCTGAAACTCCGGCCAGCCAGAACGGCGCCGCTTCGGCCCGCCGCCTGCTCCGGCGACACTCTAGCCTACCGTGTGCTCCGGCCAGTTGCTACCGAGCTCCCCCGCCTGCTCGCTGCTTGCGCGGGGCGTGGCCAAGCCCCTGCTCCGGCGTTGGCCGGTTTTACGGGATGCTCAAAAAATGGCTCGAATCCTCTACAGGATATGTTAGTTTACATAATATATTTGATGTTCCTTTTTAACCTGTACCATAAATCTGAAGATTTGACCGTTTTTATGGGTTTTTATGGAATCTGTTAGAGATGCTCAGCGTTCCATCTGCATTTCGCTCTGTATGTCAAAAACCACGAGGCGGGCAGAGGTACTCCGTACGCCCCACCCCCATCTCGTCTCACACAAAGCCAAGCAGGCAAGCACCACCCTTCCCATCTCGTCTCATCTGACTCACACAGGCCAAGCGCTATCCTGCTCATCATAGCCATCACCTTTCCCACCCCTCCCACACGAGCTAAGCGCACACACAGCAATTGCCACAGATCCCGGCCGGACAGCCAGGAGAGGACTCCATCGGCTTCTCCGCCTCACCTCTCCGCAGCAAGCAGATCAGAGCAGAGCAGGGGATGAAGCGCGTAGCGGGGAGCCCGGGGACATGGAGCGGCATGGCGCTGCGGCTGTCGCAGTGCGCCTTCGCCGCCGCGTCCACCTTCTCCCCCAACACCAAGCCAAGCGCACATAACAAGTGCTACAGCCACCTCCCGCTCACAGCCATCACCTTTCCTTTCCCACCCCACACACGAGCTAAGCGCACGCAACAAGCGCCACAGATCCTGCCTAGCGAGCTAGCCAGGACTCCATCGGCTTCTCCGCCTCACCTCTCCGCAGCAAGCAGATCAGAGCAGAGCAGGGGATGAAGCGCGTAGCGGGGAGCCCGGGGACATGGAGCGGCATGGCGCTGCGGCTGTCGCAGTGCGTCTTCGCCGTCGCCTCCACCTTCTCCATGGTCTCCGGCTTCGGCTACTCCAACTACAGCGCCTTCTTGTACTAATTTCATTCCCCCGCAAATCCTATTTCTCTTCCTTGCCCATGTACCCCCCTTTGTGTGTTTTCTTGCAAATTCATGAGCAATCACTCATGTGAGTGTCTGTTGCGTTCGATCTGTTTTTTGGAGGACACAGGCCGGTGTGAAGCCCTAAGTTTCTAGGCTTATTAAGACTTAGAATCCTACAATTTCCCGAGAAAACATTATCAACCCTTGTTTAAGAGAACTCAGATGAGGCAGATTTAACGCCTTCCAAGCAGCGTGATGCCTTTTTCTGGAGTGAAAACCTGGTCATTACACTTTTATCTGCAAACGATTCTGAATGCTCTGCTAAATCTCATTGGCATTGAAAAAGCAAATCAATTAGGAAGATAACTCATATCCGACTGCAATGTACAAAATGCTTGAACCAGTTGACAGATTAAAGCATTTTTGATACCTCAACTACGGGGACAACCTTAAACCTTAGCAGCCCCTTACAGTCATCGTCGTGTTCTTTTCTGATCTGCAAAGGAAAGCAACAAAAACCTTATGATGTGCTTGGAAATTGGAACCATTTCATACAAAAAAGGCTGGTAATTAATCTGTCCCTAGAATGTTTCTGTGTGAACCTTCACTTGGTGTGATGTAGTCAGGGAGAACTCGGACCTGGGACGTTTTGGGGCCGGGATTAGGTTCCAAGCTCAATTCCCTGCAGGACGGAGTGAACAACACCATACTTGTTCAAAAATGGAATCAGAATATTGGACATATTTTTTTTGTGTATGTGTAACGAAGCCATACGTTTTTCATTTAACCCACAGTTTAATATTTTTTAGAATTGTTAAAGGTTAGGTTTTATAGGTCAATATACATGCCTTGACTCTGTGATGGTGTGTGCCAACTATTTATATTTTTCACATCAAGTTCATGTCATTGAGACTATGAACTGCATGAAGTCTTCAATTCTTGACTATTCTTCAGAACTGCTTGGGCAGGAACACAATTGTGTTTTGTCGACATCATCTAACGAGTGTAATTCTGGTGTCCCTTCATTTCAGCTACATGAATCTAGCGTTGATCCTGCAGATTATGTGGAGTTTGGGCCTTGCTTGTAAGGATATCTTTGCTCTAAGGAATAAAAAGGATCTTCACACCCAAGATAATCTATTCATCATTGTTATGGTTGATTGGGTAAGCCGTTCACTTTGTCTCTTCTATTGTCCATGAGCTAAGTATGAATTAACTGAAGTAATGCACTGAGGCAATTGAACCCAGATTTTTTCTCATTGGTTCTTACGAAAAAGGAAACATCCGGATAAGTGCAACTCATGCTTTTCTATTGGCCAAATTTCTTGTTCTGCCTCCCTCTAAGCCTTAAAGATATTTGTTTGCACAAGCGCTCCATCAAACTTTGCCGATGAATTATCCATTTGAGCAATAAATTTCAACAGCCAATATGCTTTGCATGACTTTATGGTCAACCAACGGTATAGTTTATCAAAGGTTCTTTTTTTCCTGTCATTAAGAACTAATGGCTGTCATTGCATCTCACAAGCACAGTCCAGATACCCTGTGAAATCAATTTTTTTACTATAGCAGTTCTTGGAATCTTGAACTAGCAACGGTCTATCTGAGTGAAAACATCAATTGTGAATACATTGCAGGTCGTGGCGATTTTCATGTTCTCAGGAGCCTGTTCCTCCGCGAGCCTGACAATTTTCTTCATGTGGGATGTGCACTTCTGCGAGGCATACCCGCGGCTGGCCTGCCGGCAGTTTGCGCTTTCGGTCGTCCTGGCGTTCATCACGTGGTTGCTGCAAGCTGCATCTTCTTTCTCCGGGTTCTGGCTACTGGTTTCGCTCTTCTAGTGATCTCACGTGCTCATAATCGCCGTCACATCATGCTAATTGTCAGTCAGGAGTCAGGAGAGTTGGTTGAAATGTGCTCGGGACACTTGCTAGATTTCATCCCTTGTTGGATCGATGGATTGTCTGTTTGATAGTAGCTCATCTTTCTTCTGGGAGTTGGTTATGAGCGCCTTGTGGTGGAATAGTTACTACTTGATGATGTGGGATTCATTAATATTAAGAGTAGCATATATGGAGATAACTCGCCATCGAAGGTACCCGAAAAATGCTCTGGTTATTGTGCAATGGAATTTTATATCTCTTCAAACAAAAAAGAATGTGTTCAACACATTTTTGGAAGAAAGTTCAGTTTAGTCTTTGCCCTGCTCTATAGTTTCAACCTGGTTCATAAATTCAGAAGGAAACAATATATATTCATTGACAGAAAGGTTTAGATCGTAGTTTGCAACAGCATCCATTAAAAACAGCATAGCAACTTCGTCGATTAATATAATTCCAAGCATAAAGGTATTCAAGGCCTGTACAATCTTAAACTGATAAAGGCGTAATAGATTTATTTGAAAGCATATTGCAAAAATCCAACAGCTCTTTCATGCATGCAGTTCATCGCCAGTCTAAAAAGGACATGTTGGTGACAATATAAATTACTACTTGGTCCAGCAAACGTTAACAAGGTCCCAACAATTGATGTTGAACACAAATTACAAAACACGTACTTTTTTAAAGAAATTTATCAACTTTTCTGAAACACAAATATTTCTTAAATTTGTGAATAAAAATTTGAAAAGAAGAGCATTTTTATAAATTCTATTTTTTTGAATTGTAAGAAATATTTTAAAACAATAAAAGTATTTTGGTATTCCAAAAAATATTTCATATTTTTGAGCAGGTTTCAGAAAACAAAGTTCAAAAAGGAGAGTTGGAATTAACAAAAAAGTAAAATAAAAATAAAGAAGAAGAAGAAGAAGAAAAAGCTTAGGCGTTGGCCCAACTAGGCAACGGCGACGCTCTTGTCGTACGCCTGTTTGGCCGGCCCAAGCGTTCGCGGATTTGAAAAAAGTTCATCGATTTTTTTAAAAAAGATTAATGAGTCTGAAAAAAAATTGTGTGCTTTGAAAAATAATTCATAAAAGTTGAAAAGTGTTCATGGATTTGAAAAGAAAATTCATGTATTTAAAACAAATTTCGTTAGTTTTAAAAAATGTTTACGAATTTGAAAAGTTCACAGATTTAAAAAAAGTTCACCATTTAGAAATAATTCATGAATTTTAAAAATAAAGTAAAATTAAAAATAAAAAAGAGAGAAAAAGTGAAAAAGATAGAAGAAACCGGAGAAACCAAAACACCCCAAAAAGAAACCATACAAGCTCTCGTTGGTTAGTGGTATACTACTTGAAGAAGCAATAAGAAGGTAACTTGGCACAACAAGAAAGTAGTCTAGTTGGTTACCGCAGTCGTACTAAGCGTACAACAGTGTGGAGCAGAGGCGGAGGACGAAAAAAAGTTAAGGTGTGGCAAACTGTCAACTAGACAAAATTGATGCCCCCTCAAAAAAAAAATTGATGCAAAAACATAATAGCCAATTCACACTGCACTGCACAGAATCTTTTAATGACGTCTAGAAGACGCATGCAGTGGCGGGGATAGGCCATGGGGTCGCGACGGAGTTAGGGATGGATGGACAGGCGGTAGCGGCGGCATTTTTGGGCACAAATCGCCGGCGGCAGAGGTGGGCAGTCATCAGCGTAGCAGACTCAAATCGGCGGGTCGGCCACGGCTACGACTCTGCTGCCGGCGGCAGGGTTGGGGATGGGCCGACGGGCGACGGCGACACATTTCAGGGCAAAAATCACCGGCGGGCGGGATGGCGGAAGTGCAACGAAGACGGTTGGGCAGTTGACGCGCTGCCGTCTGTTTTACATCTCCTAAAGATGTAGATGCAAATTTGTACCGCGAGGTGTTGTAGTTTGCATCACTGGGAGGCGGAAATGTAATAAATTTTATTTTTTTGCATCTACACCATCTGTTGGGAGGTATTTTTGGCTTCAGAGATGCAAAAGATAGTTATTTTGCATACATCTACATAGTGAGATGGGCATGTGCAGTGAAAGCGAGCTGGTTCGCGTACGTCTATGTAGTGAGATGGGTATGTGCTGGGCAACACATCAATCAAGCTGCCAGTTTGTGTGTTTTCGATCTAACTTATGTGCTTCATCTAGCTTTGTTTAGATGAATCAATCTAGTGTGGTCTAAAATTAACAAGCAGTATATGTTTGCATTTCCATCAAGAAAAGTATATGCTTATATATAAAAAAAGTTGGTGCCAAATCAAGGTGTGGCGGCTGCCACACCTTGCCCACTGGACTCCTCCGCCAGTGGTGTGGAGGGTGTGTGAGTGTGGGGTTCGTACATAAGTGTGTATCGGCACGTACGACAAACTTAAAAAAACCATTCTACTCCCTCCGTTCTAAATTACTTGTCTTAGATTTGTCTAGATACGGATGTATGTAGACTTATTTTAGTGCTAGATACATCCGTATCTAGACAAATCTAAGACAACTAATTCGGAACGGAGGGAGTATCATTTATTATGATTAGTAATAACGTATGTGCAATGCACGTTTATATTAGGTAAGATATTAATTGCACGTTATGTTAGGTAAGATATATCTGTTGCACGTTGGTATTTGATAAGACATCGATTATTTTTTCACGGAAATGGTAGGATATTAATTACATGGCAGATTTCAAGGGATAGCGTTTAGTCAAAACGTGTTTATAACCAATGGCAGTGGTGGGTAATTAGAGCATTAAACGTGTTTGGTGCTTAACATTGGAGCGATTTGAACCACTAGATAACATGATTTGACGGCTGAGATGGTTTGGATCTTTTTATATTGGTATAGATATAGAAGTAATACGAAGAGATCTCCTGTGTTGATGTGTTTAGGGTTGCACGGAAGCAGAAGTGATCAAAAATCGATAAAAAGAACTTGTAAATTTGATGATCCGCGTTAGGGCATCTACAATGTTGACCTATAAATTTGCTTCGGGATCCGTTAGCGAATAGGGGGACCAGTCCGCGAACACTGATGTCAAAGGCTGCCATCCAATGCTGCGCGCATACATTTCAAACAACGTTCCAACCAACTGGACGAAGTTCATGCAAACAAGGCGGATTTTCATATAAATGGGACGAGATACATGCAAACACATTGTATTTTCGTTACATGTCGAACATTTAGGACAAAAAAAGAAACCCGACCCTAAACCTATCCTACGGTGGCGCCCGTCGTCTACTTCCTTTGTATTCCGCATCAGCGACCACATCCTCCATCTGTCGTTTCAATGAGCGGCGGCAGGGTTCAAGACACATGTAGTGGAGGTGTGGATTCCGACGAGGAAGAGTAGAACATGTGAGATAGACCAGCCCACTTGGGACATAATGCATGCCGCCTCCCATGCCCTGCTCATCCTCAGAGGAGTCTACGACTATACGTCGTCGGAGCCTGTGGACCTGAGGTCGATGATAAACGTGGACGGTCCATCACTGCCCACCTGCCACGTGCGACCCCAAAAGTTGGACGGCGGCACGTAGGACACGTAGCTGGCGGCTGCATCCGGCTGCGCCGACTCTGTGTTGCAAGCGGTGCACGTGTGGCCTTGTAGAGCGTCTGCTGCTCCGCAACAATGTCCGGGTTCGTCGTGGCCATGACGGCCATGATCGCCTTGCTTGCGCACTCGCCGTAGATTTGGCACTCTGCCAGCTGGTGCTACTCGGGGAGGAGCAGGTTCTACCTCTGCTTCTCTTATGACGGCGTTGTAGTGCACCCGCATCTGCTCCATGGTCAGGCCGGCATGCAGCGGCGAGGTCTCCAGCGCCGTGTCATCGTCAGAGCCCACAGGGTCATCGTTGGAGACCTTAGGCGAGCTGGTCGGCATGCCCTGCTCGATCTGCCTGGCACGATGGGACTGCGAGGTGGCTGCAAGGACGGCCACCTCGTGCTTCATCTCCGACGACAGAGTATCCCACAGACTGTTCCCTCTTGTGGTCATGGCGAATATGGAGCAAAGAAGGAGGATGTGTAGCAGATGTGTTGTGGTGTGGAGTGGCCACCACTAAATACTGGATTCCGATGAGGCCAATCATCCGGGCGCGTCAATGCGAGGTGCCAGAGTTGGTTCCTCGGTCGGCGAGCCTGCTTAATGGCGGCATACAATGAACAAGCGTGGTAGATATTTGTCCTGTCCCGTACAACAAACGTTGCCCTGAAA